TGTCTCCTGGAAACAGTGGTAACTGAGTGAATAAGATGCTAAGTACTGGAGCTACATGGTGTAGATTCAAACTTTTATGATTTTAGTTTTTTTTTGTGTTAAACAAAATTATTTTATTATTTTACTATATCATTACCATTATTATTACTATTATTATTCCTCATCTGTAAAGCTTAAAAAAAAGATATTTAAAAATTGTGACATCATTTTTTGTTTAGCAAAAAAGAAGTCTGTAGATTTAACCTTTATATCATTAAATATATTAAGTTTTTATTCTTATTAATTAAATAATTAAATTAAATAATTAAGTTTTTATTCAACAACATAAAATTTTAACATATTTCTGAACATAAAATATAGAAAAATTACAAATAACTTAAATAAAATATAGGTAATAATTTTTTTTCACTTGGTTTACTTTAAAATTGAACCTTCCAATTATTAGACATTGCTTTTTAGTTTGTTGTCAATGTAAAGATATAAAATTAATTTTTACTATTAAATAATTGCTAATGTGAATAGAATTTCATAATGTTTTTCTAAATTTATATTCACTATATAGAAAGAATCTGAAATTATTATACATTGTGAAAGACTATTTTACATATATCAAAAAATATAATAAAAGCAAAATAATTTTAAGTTTATAAAGCCTTTATTAACATTTTCAATCTGATTTTTCTTAAAAAAATATACATCATTCGATAAAGAAAAAGAATATATAAAACTAAAGATAAAACATTTAATAAAACATAACATTTATTAAATGTTTTAAAAGAAGCTGAGTTTGATATTCAATTTATTACTAAAGATAAAGTTGAAAACATGCATTCTTTTACTAATAATTATTATAAATCTAAAAATTTAATTTTTTGAAAACATTAAAGAATTTTTAAAGTGAAATTAAATATTAAAAATAAAGTAAAAAATTTATATAAATATGACATTAAATAATTATTAAAACATTGTTATCCATTAAATTGTTTTCAGAAATTTATTATCAAACATTCTATATAAAAATTGATTTATATACAAATTGATCTGATTTAAAATGTTTTATGTAATTTAATGGAAGGGCATTTAACTTCTGAAAACTTTTTCCTCAATTCAGTGTCTGAAACTTAAGTCTGTGAAATATTCAGAAAGTATCTAGTAATGTATGTTTTGACTAAAACTATACTGATAGAATGAAAGTTTCATTACAAAACATTATTTTCATTACAATAATATGTACAGTACACAATTCTCTTCCAGTAGAGTGCATTCAATCATTAATTCGTATTTACTCTTACATACATATGAATTGTTATATCTTATATGTGCACTAAATTGATGCTGAATAAAATTATTATGCAGTATATTTGTATAAAAATTTATGTAGTATCACTTGCATTATAAATAATGACAAATAAAGTTGGACACTATAATAAATTTTGATAAATAATGTGAAATTTATCACATTGATCGGTCAGTTTCAATATTGCTATCATCTCTTGGGAGAAGTGATGTAATAATCTTTAGGATTAATCATCTGACAAAATATTTAATTTTTTGTATACTGTATACCAAAAATGATGTTCCAGAAATTTTTTTTAAGTTGATTTTTACAATTAAATTAAATAATTTTGTTAAACTATTGTTAACAAACAGTATTATTAATTAATACAGTTAATATTATGTTTAAAAATATAAAATAGTTTATAAGTGAAATTTTCACAAATGTCATTGAAAGCTATGTGCAAAGTAATTGCCAAAGTAAATTTATTTTAATGATGAATATAATTATTATATAGTGTCTATTGATTATTAAAGAGTTTTATGTAATTAAAATATCTATAACAAATTACTTTCTTCTCAATAACTGAAACAAATTACAAAGCACAATCAACAAAACTTGACAAACATTTAAAAACATGTTTAAAAACTTGTGTTCTGAGCATTCCAATTTGGAATACAATGTTGACCTGATGCAGATCTTGTTTAAGATTGAAAATATTTGTCAAGTTTTGCATTAAATTTCATTACTGAATGTTAAAGGTTTTGTTGATTGTGATTTAAAATAATTATATTAATATTGCCCATGTAATAGTGTATTGTTCTTAAAATACTTTAAAATGATTCACAAAAATAATTCTTAATAAAAATGTAAAATGGTTTTTTAAATCCTTAATTACAACCTCTAGTTATCTATTGTTAATATTAATAACGGATAAGTTTTAAATTATACATAATTCTCCCTGTTGCTGTTATTTCAGTGTAGAAAGTAAAACTGTAACAAATTTCAATTGATATAACAACAACCTCTTAATATCCAACATTACATGAGCAAAAATCAAATATAATCATATCAAAGCTTGATAATTATATTAAAGCCAAATAACTGTGATTGCCAGATTAAATTAGGCTACATGGCTTCAAAAAGCAAATTTTTTCAACCACTTTATAATTGTCTTCAGATTTATACATAAAATTAATAATAAATTAATTTTTAATTCTTGTTTTATTTTTAGATTAGGTTTTAAATAATTCTTTACATCATTCAAAATATCATATAGTGCATAATTGTGTCACTTAATCACAAAACATTTTAGAATATAAGCCATTTTAGAATTTTTTGATTAAACCTGAAAATAATTACATAAACTAGGTGAAAATATTTGAAAGATATTAAAGATTATTGTTATATTTGAACTTGCTTATTCAGTTTATGTTTGTCATCACTGTTTTATAGATTACAATTTTAGGTACTAAGTTTACTTTGGAATATCTATAACCAAAATTTATATGAAACATGTATATGTAAATGATAAATTTACATTCTTCTATTTTTAATGTTTGTCATCACTGTAAAATAAACTAATCTGTTCCTCCTTTGTATTAGTATGTGTCATTACTATTGTGCCATTGTCTAATCTATGTGTTCTTCATTCTGTCTTATTTTTATCATCATTACAAAGTACTAATTGTCATTTATTGCTGTCTTAACTGTGTATATTTAATCTTTTGTTGATGTATCTATTGTTTTAACCTTGTCTGATTTGTCTCAGTGTTGCTCAGAGAATTTAATGCTGCTGTTGATTTCTAGATCTTCATCAAATTAATAATACAATATTAACTTATTTAGATGAAAAGTATAATTGAAGAAATTTTGCCTTTTAATGATAAAATTTTTCAGTTATTAGATATCCTTTGCAGAATACTTCATTTAAATTGCATTTTTAAATTAACTGAAAATAAAAAGTAACATTCTGACAAACTAAAGACTATGTTTGAGAAATGAAAATATCACAACTTTTAAGATTCTATTGATATTTTATAAGAAGACCATTAATGTATCACAGCCATGGATAAAGAGCATAAACTTAGAGGAATTGATCATCTAATGAGAGGGCTATCCAGAAGTAACTTCCATTTAGTTATTAAAAAAAATCAGTATAGTGAAAGGAATTTTATTATATACAACTTAAAACTACACCTTTACAAATTTTTAACAGTTTCCAGCTAAATTTAAATGCTTGGCATAGCCGTGTTACAATTTTTCTGTCACCTGTGATTTAATCATGCCAATGATCACTTCATGAAGAACTGTATGTGAAATCCATGGAAAGTTCTGACTTACTAGAAAGTTCTGAATGTGAATTGGCAATTCTCTCTAACCTTTTTATGAATCTTCTGTATGATAAATAAATGCTTACTGGAACTAATTAAATAATTTAAAAATAAACAAACACCTTTTACTAGTCCAGCACAACGTTTAATACGCTAAAAACGTTTTCGACCAATTTAAGCGATCTTCTTCAGTTCACATTCCATCAATATAACGAACAAAGTATTCAAATAATACAAAAATTCAAAGCGCGGATGCACAAGTTAACATTAAGGCGCATGTCTGTTCTCAAAAATGAAAAATATAAACCAAATAATTAAAAATAAACAAAAAGTATACACCAAGTAAATATTATAAAACCAATTAATAATGCCATCTACATGGTTGCGACTGTTAATCCATGTTATCATAAAAGGACTTCCAGGCTGCTGATAAACCATTGGCATCCCTGTAATTGATGTACTGCACAGTCATCTGCACTTTGTGTATCTACTTTTTCCAGGTGTCTCACTGCTTGTGTGGATCTTGTAGGTGTAATAATTGCTGCTTGATCCCAGAATACTGTGATGTCCTGCTGCTTCGCAAACGCTGTGAGGACCGTACTATCAATGCTTCTATTCACTGAGTATTTGTGCTCATCAATCCTTTTCTTCAAGTTCCACATCATTGCTCCTATATATATTANGATACATTTCTCCCTTGATTTTTTATACGGAAAAAACCTTTATTTGTAAATGTTAAAATTTAACTTTTCGTTAAGTGGCAAGTAATATGGCGATAAAATATTTACAAACACAACTTTAAATCACGTGATTTTTTTCCGTGGAAATTTTATTATAAGTTCAAGTGTGCCTTGAGATAAAAAAAGTTAAGTAGCAAAATGGAACTAATAGAGTTGTATTCCATTAAATCTCTAAATAAAATGAGAAATTATTTATACCCATCACTCATTTTATGATATTGATTAGTTTGCGGAACAAAAACGTTTTTTCCCTTCTCATAGTAGGGAATGTTTAATTCCTTCCAAAAAGTTATGAAGGCAATATAAACGTATTTGACGGCTGGATGGCCGAGCAATTAGGGTGGCAGCCAACCGCTCTGGAAAACCCCTGATAGAATCTGGACAGGTAAAAAAAAATCCAAGAATTTTCGGGGTGATCCATACGGATATTGTCGGGCTCCGTTCCTCACCATCTGGCATCTCCATTCGTAATGGGTTTGCTAAAAAGAAAGTCGTCTTAATGCCCACAGGACGGAAAGAGTTAAGAAACTATTTTATTAAAATAAAAAAAGTTATTATTTATGAATGGGAAAACATCACTAAAAATTATAAATTAATTAATTAAAAAGAAAAAAAAAAAAACGAAATTAAATATACACTAGATGGCACAACTTGTTCACAACAGTATCGTTTGGTGTCAACAAAGCTGAAGTTTATCATAAAAATTTCTTCAAAAAAGAAATAAAAATTTGAATTCTCGTTATGATTTTATCATATTAGTGTTTTATAGAACATAAGAAGAACTATTAAAGGATTGTAAAAGGTAATTGATTTGATATGGCAATGTTTTTCAATTTTCTTTAAATGGTCATTTTATGCATGGCGCCATTTTGTTTCTGTTTGTAATTAGTTCATTTTTTCAGTTATGTTTTCAATTATCTTATATATATTATCGATTGAAGAGCATTTTTAGTATTTAATACTTCTAAATTGATTTAAAAGTTTATTTTATTTATTACAGTATTCAGTTTAATATGTTTAATCTGATTTACGTTTATTATTCAATGTAAATAAATGTGCCATTTTTGTGTTCTCATTTAATGTTTATCAGTAATTTAAATGGATTTTTGTTAGAGTTTAATCAGACTACAAATAATGCATTTGTAAGAATGATTTTAAAATAAATATTGAACTTCTGTCATATCAATAATGTGACACATTGTTTTTAAGTAAATAATGCTTTAAAAATAGAAGCCGTATAGGAAAAAATGAGGTTTGAGTTATAAAGTGCCAGTATATAAAACTGGTTAAAGAGAGAATAACATTCTGAAAATTTATTTATATATATATAAAGATGTTTCAATATGAAATAAAATTTAACAGTTGGAATTAATGTAAGAAATCTATATTTTATGGAATTAAGATGATAAAAATTTTTAAGAATGTTTATTTGCAGAATTATGATTAATTTTTTCATCAATTTTTTTCTCTATTTCATTAAAGATGAAGTAGCCACTGTGGTTACTTAGCTAAATTAATTAATGCACCGTTAACAGTGAGTGAAGTTTAAATAATGCTATCGTTTTTTACTGTTTACTCTTTTTCTGTTTGTATAAATCAACTGTAAACATGCCACTTTCAGATGTGGACAGTTGAAAGTGTAATTCACTTTTGACTGTCCACATCTGAAGGTGGCCAGTTAACAAGGTTAAAAATATTACCATTAATTAAAAATTATTTTTACGGTAAACGTTGCACTTTCTTAATATAAATATTGTTAAAATATTATTATTGCAGGTTTATAGCTAATGATTTTAACATTCCTTAACTTTAAATGAAATGTAATAAATGCTGATATTTTTTACAATACTAATATTTTTTATCTGTTAACCAGTCACTTTTATGGCAAACATAAATAAATACTGATGTAATAAAACATATCCTTTGAATTCTTTTTTGCAAGAAACACGTAATTTGATGATAAAAAATCAGATGGCTTTATTTATTGCAAGGCCATTTAAATGAAATAGATGCCTGTTATGAAAGTCAAAAACAGTTGACTACAGTGACCATGTCCACTTGCACAATCTTTCCATTAGATATGCCATCTGCATACTGAGAGTTTTAATGCTGTTATATGTAGGATAGATACAGAAATACTAAATTTAACCAAAAAAGTTGGTTAAATTTATTAACTACTAAATTTAACTAAAATATTTTATTAAGATGCACATAAAAAACAGATTATCTGACCATTAACAAAAAGAAATTAGAGGGGAGAAAAACAGAAATGAATGGTAAAATTATAAGGATAACACTGAATTTAAAGAACTTTGCAGAAACTTTAATAGGGATGATATGTTATACAAAGAAACAAAATATTTTTTTTATATATACATTTACACTTCATGATAATGTTTTTAAAGTTTCTAGATAAATTATTCTCAGTTTTATTATCGTCATTAATATGATTCTGTAACACATTACACACCAAATGTTCAATAAATAATTATTGAATGATATCAGTGTGGTCTGACTAATTACATGGTGTAAACCCAGGTTTTACTTAGTTTTGGAAGCAACAAGTATTTCAGAATTTTGCTAATGTTTTTTTGTGAAAAAATGGTACTTCAGGAAGGCTTCAACAAAATCATAAGCAGTAACCATATGATCAGCAAATGCTCATGATGGACATGTTTAGCCATCATAATCCTGAGTACTTACAGTCGACCCCCCTATAAGATATAGATACCTTCCAATTTATTAGGAATCCGACTTCTTACAAGTCGTTCCAATCACAGCCCGACACGTGTCAAGTTTACGGACTACGGCTGATTGAAAGGTTTTCTTCCATAAAATTAACCGATTCTACACTAATCCGACTCAACATTTCCAAAATACGTATATTTTTTCGTAGTTTTATAGGAATCGTAATTATAGGGGGGTCGTCTGTATTAACAAATATGGTGATGCAGACTTTTGAAGTAGGTGAGAATCCTTTTAAATGCACAGTATAATTCTGTTCTGTTAGTTATTCTAGTTTTCTAGATGCTAGCATATGCTTTCATGAACTTATCTTTTCCTGGAATCACTGAAATACAAACATTTAAATATCATAACACATAACAAGAATTATTTGTAAGTTTATTCTAATATTGAATACATTAATTACCTGGGGATTTATTTCATTCTCTAACAATTTTTGGCATTCTAAGTTAGATCTTTTTCTAAAAATTGTTCACTGCAGTATCCTTCTCAGCCAAGTTGATGATCATTGTTGTTGGAAAGAAAAGCTCAGTAATTGAGGCTTTACTTCCTTAATGACTATCAGTTGAAGTCTTGACAAGTCCATCTTTGAACATCTTTTCCATTGCAGACATTATATTTATATAAAAGATTTAATGACTTTCACTGAAGAAAAAAATGGAAAAATTTACTAAGCATTACTCTATTCTCTTTAACCTTTGCATCAACTGATCATTGCAACCAAAAATGTGATGAACACTGCTGAAGAGTGTTTCTATAGGATTATTTGAAAACCTTGTCAACACAAGGTGAAATTTTATGTGTAGTAAATACATAATAATGGAAGAAAAGAGAGAAAAATTAATATGCTACATGTTAAATACAAAAATCCAGCAACCAGTTGCATAACTTTTCCAGTTATGAGATTTTATTTAAAAAATAACTTATATTATTAATCATATTAAATAAAATTGTATGTAGTACCATCTGTTATGATATTTTATTATAAAGTACATTTTATATTTATTATTATAAAATAGCAAAAAGCTTAATTTTGAGAGTAGGGATGAGCTTTATAAAAAACTAGTAAATGTTAATAATGATCAGTCTTCTTTAGAGAGGTTGCGGCCCAAGTACAAACATTACTTGCACATTGCAAGCAGAAGTACATGGTTTACATTTTAACTCCAAGAAAAAATTGTTGCAGCACATGTTCACAACATCTCGTGACTCAGTGAACGTCACATATTGACTCATGAGAAATTTGTTGGAAAAATGGCGGATACATTTAACATCGAGGGTTACCAGCAAAGGTAAATAAACAAATTAAACTATTTTAAAGTATTTATAGGATGTTTAATAACACAAAATAATTATTTTTAATTAGCGTGATGTCTCCTACCGTACATCGGATGGTAGGACTATCTCATACTCATGTCAAGGGAAATAGTGGCTTATGTAAATTTGAAAGCAGCTCGGAAAATTAATGTTTAGAAAATTTACAAAAGTATTATGTTTTTGATGGTAGAAGATGCCATAGAAGAACAAACCAACCTTAAGATAAGCTATTATGAAGGCAAATATATGTAAATTCTGTAACACTTCATATCACTTGCTAAAAAATTGAATAATTAAATAATTTCTGGATTAAAATCGTCTGTTTCTTTATAGTATTATTCATAAATGCTTAAATAATCATTATTTTTATAAAATAGGTCATAATTTTAACCTCAAACACAAAAAAAATGAATAAGTTTAAATCGATCTTCTACTTGCCATGCTAGACGTAATGAATGCCATTATCAACTGTCTAGAGTTGCCAGATGGCAGCGCTCGACCGTCTGCCATTCATGTTTTGGGCTGAATACGACGGCTGCAACCTCTCTATTATATCCAACCACTCAGAAGGGAATGATGCATCATATCTTCAATTTCCTCACTTCCTCAACCTTTAACCACCAAAATTTAATAACATCAGTTCCTCTTATATGCAAGATACCATGCCAAATTTCATATCTTAATTCCACACACACACATCATACACACAACAATACATCACTGAATTTTTTGACATTTTTGAGTTCAGGAGGTCTCAAAACAGGAAAGAAGTAAAAACATACTCACTGCACATAGTGTTGACATCATAGGTAAGCAAAGGATCTTATCTGTCTTTAGAAAGAAACTGGTTGACAACATGGTTTTTCAGTTTTCAATGTATTCCAAAAAGTGTTTGCTAACCATTCAAGAGATGCATTGTGCTCAATGGAACAGGTGCATGATTTTGGTTTTGTAAAAAAACTACAAATGCAGAATTATAACTAAACAACACAAAAAAGTTAAGTGTTAACCTGGAACAATTTTTGAAAGTTCTTTAAGAAGAAAATGGTTTCATAGTTTCGACTTACAAGGAGAGGGATGTCGGGTCTCTGATTCAAATAAAACTTGGTAAGCATGTAGCCCTAAACACAAACAGCTCCTTGTCCAAAAAATAGGACCCACTTCTCAAGCATTTCTGAGAAATGGGCCTCTGAAAATTCACTGTAGCTTATGTCTTTGGAAGTTTCATGTCTCCTGGAAACAGTGGTAACTGAGTGAATAAGATGCTAAGTACTGGAGCTACATGGTGTAGATTCAAACTTTTATGATTTTAGTTTTTTTTTGTGTTAAACAAAATTATTTTATTATTTTACTATATCATTACCATTATTATTACTATTATTATTCCTCATCTGTAAAGCTTAAAAAAAAGATATTTAAAAATTGTGACATCATTTTTTGTTTAGCAAAAAAGAAGTCTGTAGATTTAACCTTTATATCATTAAATATATTAAGTTTTTATTCTTATTAATTAAATAATTAAATTAAATAATTAAGTTTTTATTCAACAACATAAAATTTTAACATATTTCTGAACATAAAATATAGAAAAATTACAAATAACTTAAATAAAATATAGGTAATAATTTTTTTTCACTTGGTTTACTTTAAAATTGAACCTTCCAATTATTAGACATTGCTTTTTAGTTTGTTGTCAATGTAAAGATATAAAATTAATTTTTACTATTAAATAATTGCTAA